CCTTTATTACTTACTGTAATGTTGGTGATCCAGGAAGTGAAGTTTATTCCACTGTAGTGCTCACAACTGCTGAACAATTAAAAAGGGTTTTATGTCCTCAGAGTTGACTTGTCAGGAGCAGAGAACACCCTGATGATCACAGGTCAGCCCATCCTCATCCTCAGGCTGAAGCAGCAGTCTGTGGGAAAGCTCCAGTGATGCTTGTCTCTACGTGGACAGGCTCATGTCCATTAAGGTGCAGGCTTCAGTCTCTCCAGCAGATGTTGAAGCTACTGCAGGGATTTGCTCCCATTAAGAGCATTAGTGAGGTCCAGCACTGACACTGAGATGAGGTCTGGCTCACAGTCGGGGTCTAGCTGACCCCAGAGGTGTTGAATGGGGTTGGGATCAGTCAAGTTCTTCTACACCGAACTGAGAAAATCAGTTATAAAAGGTCCGTTCATGGTTTTAGTTGTGCTTTTTTTATTGGAACTGAGGCCAGACCTTAGTTTATTTTGGCGAGTAGCTTCAGCTCCTGCTGCAGGAACCTGAGAGAAGGTGTTCACAGCAGCCAGGCTACCGTCTGTAATCTAAAGCTAAATGTGCCTTTATGCAGATTTTCTTTGTCAGGCCGTGTTGTCATCTTTGATGTTAAAACTCTAACATTATTTCACTTTATGTTCCATTAGTTCTTGTGAATAAATTGTTACTTCGAGATCACACATTGGACAGTTTAAAGCATGAATTATTCATTTAGACAGTTCTTTCTTCTCCAGCTCATCTGCCAGGCTTTTAAAGCCAAATTCTGTCGTATTTAGTTTGTTAATACTGGACTCGTATTCAGCAGCACATCACGTATGGTGGTATACAGTATGTGAAAACCCTACAGCTTCCCAATAGTGCTGTCGAGGACCCCGGTGTCAGTGGAAGCTGTGGCCCTGTGAACAGCACCATGGTCCTAATAAGGCAGATTTGTTTTCCAAACTGTTTGTGATTTAATGAACTGGGAGGCTGGTGAGGAGCGTTTAACCCATTAACCTGTTTCAAAGCCTAAAAACCCACCACAGTGATCAAACCAAAGATTCTCACAGTGGTCCTGTGCTTCATGCAGGTGCATCCCACTCGCAGCGCTGCATTTCTAAGGTTTGGTGTAGCAAACTCTTTGTGTGCATGAGGGACAAAGTCCGTGGTTTTTATTTTTTGTTGTTGTTGTTGTTGGCCTCTGTTCCGCTGCTGTTGTACGCCGAGCCGCTTGTCTGCAGCCACTGGGGGACTTGACTCACCGGAAGGGAGACGATGCTACGGTTCGCTTCGCTTTCAACACAACAGCTTCTGTTCTCAGTGATGTGAAACTGAGACTTTGACATTTAAGGAAACTTAACAGTGTAAATGCTGTTTAATTGAAGTGTTAAGCGTCTTATCATTACACAGCAACAGTCGGCGTGGCCTTTAAATCAGGATGCATTCAACATTATAAATCACACAAGCCATTTTCTCCAGAGACTTTCCTAAAATGTCAGAGCCGTTCTCTGCCCTTCACTAACATGTGAGCCATGATCCCCCATGAGCGTTTACAGTTCATATGTTTTACTCCCTGCCCATCTGGGTAGCAGATCACTAACGATATTAACACCATCATGTTGATTCTGCACAGACTGGAACTTTTTTTTCTTGTTTAAAACATGGGGGTCGTCATATCTTAGGAAAGACAGCACGTCAGATAGTCCTTTTGGATAAACAGAGTACTGTTGTCTTCTACAGAGAGTGTTGCATTATGGGTTGTTTGTAGCCTTGGTGGGCTTGCAGGTGTTTTCAGAGACAAGGGTGTGTTAGTCCTCTTTCACCTGCAGGAGTTTCTAAAGGCTACTGTTATGTGAAATAAATTAATGGCGACTGAAAACAAGCCAGGTAGTACAGCTGTGACAGAAAAGCTGTGACCGGCGTGGCCTGTCAGAG